TCCTTTTCTTTTTGACTTTGAAAAGCTACCTACTGGAAGTAAAAATGAAACAGTATTCCATGCCACTACTGATCTTTGAAGAGAACTTGTTTTAAGAATTCCCTAAAAGTGCTTCGTATTTGACGACAGCACATCCGTAATTCAGTTAATCAAGTCGGCTTTCTACAAATGAGTTAGCTCATGAGTCAATTATTTTCAGTACAAATAGGCTCTGAAGTGTCATCATCAACTCAGTATTACCAACTGAAGTGTTAATAAATTGCTGCTATGGCTCTCCCAAGTTTTCTGGAGGCGGTATTACGGAACAGGCTGATGCCTCTAAATGTGGTCAGGATTGTCCAGGCCACAGATTCCACTATAGAAGGCCATTCTGGCATGCCTTTTAGCTGAGGGGAAGGAGGGTTTTCTGAAATGTAATCTATAGAGGCATGTTGAGAGGAGGGTTTAGGTTGTTGTTTTTTGTATAATGACCGTTGAGCAAATCTTCACAGACAAGAATAGTAGTGGTAGTGAATGAAACACAATTATACCTCTTATACCACATCTTAAAAATATCTAGTCTTTCTGAAGAAAGAACATGATAGGAAAACAAAATGAAAGAGGAACTTTTATAATATGATCTATTGAACATGCAGTTGGAAGGCTTTGAAAAGCACTGTGAGTTGAAAGTGAGTAAAACCTAGGCCCTTTCTGTACAGTTCAAACAACCTTAGACACAGTTTACTTTCATTTATGGAAAACCAGGTTATACTAATGTATATAGTTGTTCTACCCAAGTAGAAATTTAGACCAGGACACAGTTTTTTAACCTGATTATACCATGGTTGGTCCTGGGGCCAGACAAACTGTATTTAAACCATGCTTAGACTGCAGTTCAGACATGAAAAGTGGCTCTACAGAAATGGCGTTTAGGGGTTCCATGTTGTATTGTGTTCCAGTAATTTGGAGCTTGTTCATCTTACAAATTAAAAAAATATAATAAAATCTAAGCATCAGCCCTTCAAATTCAATCTGCACTCTGAGAATCAAATTGGGCTCTTCCCTTCTCATGTGTCCACATCTGTAATTGATGATTTTGCAGGCTCCCAAAAACGATCAGTGCAAACCATTGTCTTCAAGTATAGCCCTAAATTAAACTTGTACAAATGTATGGAAAGCTGATGGTTTTGCACAGCTGTAACTGAGAGATCAACATTGCTTAATTGTTATCTGACTCGCAGCTAAAGCAAGGTACATATACAAATCCTGATTCTGAAAACACCCTTTTAGTGCTTGAAATGTTACCATTATCTTTTAATTTGCTGTGTGAATATCCTTAAGATTAACAGGGATGGATTGGGGATAAACATGACCTGCTTTAATTAAAAATGTGGAATCTAAAACTTTTCTCTGGGGAGAGAATGCTGATGAAAAAGAAAATGGAGGAGATACGGTAGGTGGCTGAGAAACAAAGTCAATGGTCACTGAATGATGCTGATATTAGAAAAACGTGGGTGGGGGCGTATTAAAGCACAGTATATGGTCTGGATGTGTCCTTCATCCAGCACTCATCTCAATTGACAAGGGTAAATACTAAATGAAAGTGCCCATTAGCCCTGCTTTGAGCAATGCTGTCCATGTTACCCTTAGCTGCTTCACATTAGATTTGTGAAAAGGATGGTGGTTTCTGTTTGTCATGTTTCATGTGCACAGTTTCTTCGGTTATGGATTGTGTGAGCCCATAAACTGCCTCCCCGTGTTTTCAGTTCAAACAAGTCTAAATTAGTCATAGGGGAAATTCAGTCAACACTACCAAATTTCTCTGGGTTTCATATCAAAACCATCTAGTATCATGTGGCTTCAGAAGTTGGCCCAACTGGGTCCAGACTTTTTCTACAGCAGAGGTTCTCAAATTATGGTCCATGGACCACTTGGTGGTGGTCTGCAGAAAGACACCAGGTGCTAGCTTGCTGAGGCTCTCTCTAGGGAAGTGTGGTTCTGCAGCACTCTCTTGTTCCTTGATGCAATATCAGACATTCAAAGAAGGGTTGGATTTGTTTGTTTGTTTGTTTGTTTTTAAATGTAATAGATTTTCTGCTACAGATTTGTAAACTGAGATGCATGTACCTTTATTAGGTAAACAGGTAAAGGCCATGGAATGTTTTTATCTAATACGTGCATAGCGTAAATGAACTGTTGTATTTGTTTTCTGGGTGAAAGTGTTATGAAATATTGAACTGCTCTACATTCGATTGATTATTTCAAATGCAATGTGCTGTTCAAAAATTCATTTTTCATAAAAATATGAGTTGCTTCAGTTTTGATTTGTCTACATGGGGGGAAACAGTTTAATGAGTTGGGCTCCCCCACTGCCCCAAAAAGCTTTATTAATGATTTATTGGGTTTTAAAATAATCTGTATATATATATTTTTAAAACCCTTTGCATTTTGCCTGTAAGAAATTTTAATATGACAACTGATATGAACAGAAAATAGTGGTAGTTGGTTATTAGTAAATCTTTATTTTAGTTTTTAAAATATAAGGATTGTGCCCATGGAGTTAAGCAATGATATTGGGCTACATTAAATACATTCCCAGCAAACTTTCTCAGCAGCTGAATATGACTTTTTTGAAAACTTAAAAACCATTACAAAGCATTGCGGGTGGAGGAGTTGGTGGGAACAGCTCATTTAATATTTTATATTATATAATGTAAAGGGTTTTTTATTTGTGTTTTACTCTAGAAACACCAGGACTGTCAATCCTGGTCTTCGCTGGTTTTCTTGGAAGACTTGTTGAAGTTTTCAGAATATGCATATTTTTTGCCTTTACACCTTAATTCGAAGGAACAGGATGGTTGGATATTTTAACAAAAACATCTTTTCTCCAAAATGTCAATTCCTTTTTGAAGTTTTAAACAGTCAGGCTATTTTTCCACGCTTGGCTCTTGTGATATCTTAATTTTACTAGTTCTCCACTTGCCATAAAATATTCCAAGCTAGTCATGGTATGAATTTCTAATGTTAAAAAAACTTCTTTAAAAAGTCATGTTTTCTTTATGCATTGTAAAGAAGCAAATAAGGACACTTTTTTTTTGTTAATCACCTTTCTTGTGGATTGAGGAGACATGGAATTAACTTGTTAGCAACATGATGTTCCCTTGGATACCATCTCTGTGTAAATCCACATGTTTCTGTGGTATTTAGCAGTGACATAAGAGAGTTTTCCAGTATGTGTTACTAATCCAAGTGGCGTGGCATTGTATAGAAGCTGCTACTCTCTAGTACAAGCATTTGGTGACTTAACTAGTGATTGTATCATCTTTTGTATCAAAGCAATCCTACATTGGTGCTCATATGTAAGAGGCTTCTGGCCATTCAGACAATTGACTTCAGCAATGCAGTTCTTTAGAAGTAGGCAAGTAGAATACATTAACGTCCTCTCTCTGCGTTACAGTAAGTGATGTCTTTATGTGAGGCTAACTTTTCTCATTGTATACAATTCTAGTTGCCAAGTTAGTACATGAAGGCAGACTTTTTAAATATGCTGTTTGGTATACCACAGCCACAGAGCAGTCAGAGGGAAATAAGAAATTGGCATAATCTTCTCTATCACAGTTCACATCCATCATCATCATCATCAAACTTAGTGTGTACCCTTATAGCAATATTCACATTCCAGGTTTTTCATGAACATTAATTTAACTTCTCAACATTCCTGTATTATCCCAAGTTTACAGATGGAAAAAACGGAAGTATAGAGGCTAAGTGATTTTCCCGAGATCACAGAAGCAATCCTCATCAGAGCCAGGATTAGAATTAAGAACTACCGAATTTCTAGTTCCCTGTTGAAATCACTAGACCTCTCCCTCTTCATTGTGTAACAATCCACCTTGCTCCTCCCTTTCTGGATCCTGCCTTGAGATAGAATTTGGAGTTTGCAATGTCCATGAAATCTTATTTTCACAAGTGGTCAATGAGATTGCTCAGTCACATGAATGATCCAGCCAGAGGTGGGGACAAATTGGCAGCTTTGCATGAAGATTGGCTTTGGTTATGCTATGGGTGGGTTTACTTCCCTTGAATTTTGCTTCAAGTTTCTGGTTCAGGCAAATGAAAAACTCAAACTAAAACTCAATTGATACCACCGTGGCTCACCTAGTTTTGCATTTAACCCCACCTGCCAACCCTTGCCCAAAAAACAAAACAAGCAAACAAAACCCCTACAGCTTTTGTGTGGTTATATGTGAAATTATAAATTAATACCATGCCCACACTTCCTTGGGAGGCCTGGAAACTTTTTGATACGTGTAACAAAACCAGGTGAGTTTCATAAGGTTAGAGTTTTTATTATGAGCATGAGGCCTGTCTCCAATTTCAACAGGTCTCTTCGGAAACAAAAGACACCTGTAGACAAAAAATCTATCTCATGGACCACCCCATTTCAGACTAGGGCAGGAAGAATGTTCTTTTCAAGTATGAATTATTTTTCCTTTCAATCAAAACTGCTTGTGCTTTACAAAATATTACTAATCACTTCTGATAAAGTTAATTTCTTTCTTTTAGGGTCAGTGTGTACACATGAGGAAAAAACTTCCCAGTTTTATTTCTTGGTCTTTTCTTCTTGACCAAATTGTTCATGTGACAATGTTCAATACCCAAAGAAATATCATTAAGTAGCATTTAATATATAAAATAGAATGTGTGCATTTAAAAAATAAAATAAAATAAAATCCTACCAAAACAACCACTCTGCTCTGCACACAGTTCTCCCTCTGGGCAGTGGATGAGAGCGAATGAACCACATGTGACAGATGTCAGACAGGTTGCTTAATGCACTACTGCAGGCCACTCAGATACTACAGTGATGAGGATAGTATAAATTCTAGGTAGAATAAAACAGAGACAAGGATATAGGTCAGGGGAGTTACTGTAAGAATGTTACAGAAATTAAGAAGTTACAGAAATCATTTGGGGTATCTTTATAAAATTAAGTACTGTGTATATGAATTGCATTTCAGGTCCTCCGACTATACTATGGGCACTCGAGCCTTTTCCCATGACAGTATTTTTATACCTGATGGGCAAGCAGAGAGTGAGCAGGCAGTCCAAGCAATGTCACAGGACAAAATCCTAGGCAAAGTCAAAACCCTTCAGGTAAGAAGGAACAAGCATGTGACTATGCAGGTGTAAATGTTAAAAACAAAATGTTTTTTTCATCATGTGCCATAGCATGCTAAGCATGTAAGAAGACCAGTCACTTCCCTGAAGAACTTAGGGGCAGATCCTCAGCTGGTGTAAATTGGCATCGCTGCAGTGGAGCTATGATAATTTACACCAGCTGTGGATCTGCCTTTACAACCTATGGCCCCAATCCTGTAAGTAAATATGTGCGCCCTGCAGCCATGTGGTGTTCCATTAAAGTGTACGGGGGGAGGGGACTTCATATGGATGTATGTGTTGACCCCCTTGGATCAGCCTGCGTGGTCGGGGCCTAAGTAAACAACAGAGGAGAATAATGGAATACAAGACAAAGATTTCCTTTGTGTTTTTTCTTGTCATTTAAATATTTTTTCTCTTTTGCCCTCACATATTTCCCCATTAATTTTTGTTAGTCCTTGCCTTTTAGTCACTTAACTCATGTCCATTGGTTTCTTGATTACCAGTTTGTTTGTATGCTTTCCCATTGTTTTTCAAATGCATTAGACTTTTTGCATGATGTAGAAATAGTCAATCCCCAAAGGTCTTACTTTTCATTTGCCTTCCATTTTTGTCCTTGAAGTTCTAAATGCATACAAAACAAGGCTCTTGAGGAACCTTCCCACTGCTCTTTCCCCAGTCCACCTGCATTTCAGATACATTTAGTCTTCAAAATAAATTAATACATAAATGGCTTCCTTCTTAAATAAAACCATACCCTGCTGTTAAGAAATTACTTACCAGCCCTCCTTTCATGCCTGGCTTCCATGATTCCTGTCCCATTAATGCACTAATTAATTTTGTGCTCTGTAATATACTTGAAAGATTTGCTCCATATTCCTAATTGGACTTTGGAAGAGCTGAAGAAGAGATACCTTTCAAAAATTCATCTGTTTTTACAGTGGGCACAGGACATGTTGGGGCAGGACTTTGAGAGCTTGTCAGTGTTGTGTAACTGCTCACTCACAGGGGTTGAATTGGAGGGTGGGGGGAAATTAATTGTATTCCTCTAAACTCTGCTCACAAACCAAACTGTGCCCACTTGAGATGCCAAAATGAGATACCAGACAGGATAATAGCTGGAAAGTTCTTCATGGTCAAGTAACTGGCTTCTTTTGCAAAAAGAAAAGGAGTACTTGTGGCACCTTAGAGACTAACCAATTTATTCAGTTTATTTATTTAACCTTAGTCTCTAAGGTGCCACAAGTACTCCTTTTCTTTTTGCGAATACAGACTAACATGGCTGCTACTCTGAAACCTGGCTTCTTCTGGACTTCTTTCATGTTTCAAGGAGTTGGTAGGTGTGCTTCTTAGAAGCAAGCATTAACAATTCCCATTAATAGTGGGTATAGTTTTTCTTCACTGGCTTTCATCAGCCAGGAGAGGCATGGATCTCTTAATGTTAATTCAAAATACATTGTTGCATTGAGAAGAGAATAGTCTTCAAAAGCAATGCATGAGGATACTTACAAATGGCAGGTAGCTTTTAGAATTAGGTAGCCAGAAAACATAGAGATACAGGAAATTTGGAATCATTCTAAATATGTCTCAGGGGACTATTATATATGCAGTCTTTCAGATTCTACCCTTGGTTTAACAGGAAAATATTATAAACTAGTAAAGGGAACATAATATTTTCCTTGTCTGCATCTCACTTTCAGATGACAAAGTAATAATGAGCTGTGTGGGATTTTGACATTTAGCGGTCAACATCAGCTCTTGGAGATTAAAACGTTGAAAAAAAATTGGCAAGTGGAAAGTTATTAATAGAGTTTATTCAATTAAAATAAATGTATTTAAAAATGCTAAGAGTAACTACAGAAAAGAGTGTTCTGTGCCCTGAGGAAGCCAGCTACATGCAGAAATGTGGGCATTTGTAGACTTTCAGCCTTCAAACTAATTTTTGTAAGTCTGAGTGAATAAATCTTTAATCTTGGGAGTAATTTTGAAAACTGCATATGTGCCACAAAGTACAAATGTTCTACCTCCTGGGAATATCAATAAAATAATAAAAAAAACTCATACATATGGAGAGGCATTTTTTACAGCCCATTTCTCAAACATTCCAGATTACAATAAAATTCTTTAATCTGAACAAATAAAATAGAGCTTTTCTTTTATTGCACATACCATTCTCTACAATAGCTCTATTCATAGGCATCCTCCAGTGTTCACTGCACAGTTTGTACATGTGAAATGTCATAATATGTGTAGAAAAAGGCACCCCATCCATCCCTCTATTCCTCAGCACTGTAATTAGTATATAGTCAGGCACATTTTATAAGCAATAGATCAGTGGTTCTCAAATTTTTGTACTGGTGACCCCTTTCACATAGTAAGCCTCTGAGTGCGACCCCCCTTCGTAAATTAAAAACACTTTTTTATATATTTAACACCATTATAAATGTTGGGTTTTGGAGTAACAGCCGTGTTAGTCTGTATTCGCAAAAAGAAAAGGAGTACTTGTGGAACCTTAGAGACTAACCAATTTATTTGAGCATAAGCTTTCGTGAGCTACAGCATCCGATGAAGTGAGCTGTCGCTCACAAAAGCTTATGCTCAAATAAACTGGTTAGTCTCTAAGGTGCCACAAGTACTCCTGTTCTTTTTATTATAAATGTTGGTTGCAAAGCAGGGTTTGGGGTGGAGGCTCATACCTTGCAACCCCCCGATGTAATAACCTCATGACCCCCGGTTTGAGAACCCCTGCAATAGATCCAGAGAGACAGCAGGCACATTTTCTCACCGCGAGCCAGATTCTGATACCCTTACTCACATTGAATACCTCACTCTGAGAGTCGTACCACTGCCTCCAGTGGGGCTACTCAGAGCAAGACCACTATCTGTTGTAAGGGTATTGGAGTCTGGCCCTAAATTAAGGGTTCATTTTTAATTTAAGAAAGAAATTACTAAATGAAAATTTAGGTTCTGTGGGTCCTAGATTCACCTAGATCTGAATCTAGGTCCCGATTCAGTTTCCACTATAATCAACGAGAGCTGAGGGCACTCAGCAGCTTACTGGATGATACCCTCACAGGGCCATTGTTTTGCTCTGCATGTGGAATTGCTGTTTATTTCAGTGCGGGTGTTATAAATCCAAGGTAGAATGCAGACCTAGAGAAGGTAAAGTCTGAAAAGACTGGCACCAACTGACTCCTCTTAAAAGGAGTTTTCTATTGACTTCAGTGGGACCAAATTTCCTTCTGGGTATCTAAGCAGGTGTGACTTTCTGCCACTAACTCGGTCCATTTAATCACACAAGTTATGTTTGATCATCCACTATCAGGATGCAGATGGGCAGCAGCAATACCCGTGCATACCTGAGTGCATTGGTGGAGGAACATCAATCCTAGTTCATCAACCTAGTGATAGAGAAATTCTCTCTTTCTACACTCCCTCCCCCCCACCAACTGTTTTTGCACTATGGGACATTAATGGCTTCAGTTAATCTGACTAAGATTTAGACACGAAATGCAAACTTCTGGATAGTTATGTGAATTGAGATTGACCTTTGTGGTTTACCACTCCTATTAAAAACTGTGTTTCCGTGCCAAGTTCTCACCTAAACCATGCTATTGATTCAGAGCTGAAGACATATTTTTACTTTACATAATTGCTACTGTAATCTACATTGTGTCTTTCTTAAATTCAGAGAGGTAAATTCACGGCAGACGTCTGTGCTTGTAATTGACATTCACAGGAAGGGAAGTTACTCACTTGAATCCCTGCTATGAGCATTAACTTGTGGAGATTTTCACAGTGATAGGAGATCCTCTTTGGAGAATTTCCTGTCCTTGAAAGAGAGTAAGAAAATTACCACATGGTCTTATCTCTTTTAACTGGGTGTGGTTCTTGTAAATATTCAGAAAGAAAATCAAATACTAAAGCATCCTCTTTCCTATTCAATACTTCTTCTAAATCTCATGCTAAAATATGTTCTCTTTCAAACATTTGATTCTTTTAGGCATACATAACAGAAATTAATTTCTGTACATTAAAGGAGGATCTTATTCTGTGATCTCTGTGTAAGCCCAAAGTCATTACTGCCGAAAAGCACCAGTCAGAGGCTCTGTCTCTAGACAGCCATAAAATGCTCCTTGTTTTGTTAACTTTATCCTTGGTGCAATTCAATCTTACTTTATTTATAGGTCTTTCAGAGAGAAGGTTTTAAATCATCTCTGGAAAAGAAACAGGATTAAATGAAAATAAAAAGGGAAATAGAAAAGTAAAAGTTGAATGATGGAAAAGCTACAAAACTCACATTTTCTGTTGACCTATGTGTTACAGTTCTCCTTATGACATTAGTCTCTGCAGAACCTCAGTGTGGGATTTCTGTGCTCTCTTGTACACAAATAGCCTTGTGGCATGGCAGAAGGGGATCTGCAGTGGGAATACATCTGGTCAAGATTTGCAGAAGTGACTAATGACTTTGGTAATTGAATTTTTGGGAACTCAACCTGAGATACCTTAAAGGGGCCTGATTTTCAGAGGGTAGATGCTCTGCATTCTCTGAAAATCAGGTTCCTTTAATATGCAGTATTGCCGATCCTCAAACATTTAAAAATCATGTCTGGTCCCTCAAATTGTGAGATTTTTTTTTAAAAAATTAATAAATGTAGGGTTCTTTTTATGGCCTTCTGGATTGAGACCTTGGAGGATGCACGTGGGTCATGAATTCAAGATTTTCTCTGCAACCATGAAGCCTAGAAATATACCTTTTTGTTTTTGTTTTAATGAAAGCTTGATTTTGGTGTGTCCACATGACTCCAGAAAACACCAATATTATGAAAGTCATAATAAAACAGCGAAGAAGAAGAAGAAGAATAAAACAAAGAGTCTTTGTTAACTCTTGATTGAGGAGGACAATAGTTGCTACTGATAATTATGCTTCCTTTTCTCTGCCTTGTTGCGGCTGTTGAATCTGGAGTTGGTTTGCCTTTTAGCCCTGGTAATCGGTCTGCGTATTTCAAATTGTTTGCAGAGTATGCAGATTCCATGGGGAGAGAGGGCATGTGCAGTAGAGTCAACTTATTTCATTTGTGACATAAATACATTTTTCTTGTTTTTCAGCAACAGTTGTCCAAGACTATTAAATTTGGACAACTACCACAAATGACCATTTCTGAGAGGACAATGGAGGAGGCAAATGCTAGTTTAGAAGAGGACTTATTACTCAGTAGCCCAATGGAGATTGAGACTCAACAGGACACAGTGCTCTCGGACAGTGATAACAAAGTAAGCATTTTAAATGGACATATTCACTACATCACACTATCATTGAAAGCATAGAACTCATTGGGGCATAGACGCAATGTCCAGTAAGCCAGGGCAGAAGGCTTTTGATGTGCGGACACACACATTTAGTAGGACTTTTCAAATTCTGCACCCTAGACTAATGATAAGTATATGCACTGGGGGGTGATGTACTTGGTGTCCTGGGAGGGAGGCCATGATATTAACTATTCTAAAGGCCCACAGTTAACATCCCACAGAGCAGGTGGCAAACATAGCCTCTCTCTAAAGGTCAGGAAAAGGCTGGTGAGAGAAAGAGAACACTGGATTTCCCAGAGTGGGAAGTTGTGCACAGGTGATGCATAGCAGCCTACAGGGGAAATCCTGTGTGAGAGGGATTGGCGCCAAAGCCAATTTGCCTGTGGGCCAGTTACAGGACAAATGTCTGTGCTGTGATCAACTCTCTTCAGAAGTCCGCCCCTCACAGATTGGAGTGAGAGCCGGGGTAACCTCCTCTGATGATAGCAGTGTCTACACTGACATGACACAGTGGCACTACTGCACCATTTTAAGTGGAGAAAAACCCAAAGCCAGTGGCGGACTGAAAATAGAACTGGCTGTCTAAAGCTCAAGCCACTGTACCTCCCAAGCCTCGGACATACCGGGCATATGGGGTAGTCTATGGGTACGTTAACACAGCAGCTTGGCATGTGCTTCCCAGCGCGGGCAGACTGACGCACACTAGGGGCTTGTCTACGTTTAAAACCTTACTGCGGCATCATTGCAGCTTTGCCACTGTAGTGCTTCAGTGTAGACTCTGCCTACCTTGACAGGAGGGGTTCTCCTATCGGTATAGGCAGGTGGTCACCAGCTGGTAGGTCATGATCGACTGTTCAATCCTGGAGCCTCTGACAGTCGATCACGATCTCCGGCCGCTAAAAGTCCAGCAGCACAGCAGGGATAAGGCAGACTCCCTGCCTGACCTCCCCCTGCACCACTCCTGGAAGTGACCAGCATGTCCCTGCGACCCTTGAGGGGGCGTGTCTGCATGCGCTGCTCCTGCCTGCAGGCACTGCCCCGTCAGCTCCCATTGGCCGGGAACGGGGAGCTGTGTGGGTGATGCCTGCAGGGAGGGGCAGTGCGCGGAGCCACGTTCTCATCCCCAGGGCCACAGGGACATGCTGGCCGCTTCTGGGAGTTGCATGGGCCCGGGCAGGCAGGGAACCAGGAGCCACCCAAGGTAAGCACCGCCCGTCAGGAGCCCACACCCCAATGCCCTCCCTGAGCCCCCTCCTGGAGCCAGCACCCCAAACGCCCTCCCATACCCCAGCCCTGAGTCCCCTCCCCACCCCAACCCACTGCCCCAGCCCTGATTCCCCTCCCAGAGCCAGCACCGCATACCCCTTCCTGCACTCCAACCCCCTGCTCCAGCCCTAAGCCCCCTCCCAGAGCCTGCATCCCAAAACCCTCCTGCATTCCAAGCCCCCTCCCAGAGCTTGCACCCCAAAACCCTCCTGTAACCCAACCCTCTGCCTCATATCCCCTCCTGCACCCAAAAGCCTTCCCAGAGCTTGCACCCCTCTCCCACATCCCAACCCCCTGCCCCAGCCCAGCAAAAGTGAGTGAGGGTGGGGGAGAGAGAGCGATGGAGGGAGGGGGACGGAGTGAGTGGGGTGGGGCCTCAGGAAAGGGGTGGGGTAGATCCTGGGTTGCCCTTAAATTCAAAAAGTGATCTTGTGTGTAAAAAGGTTGGAGACCACTGGTATAGGTTAGTCCACCTCCCTGAGAACTGGTAGCTAGGTCCATGGCAGAATTCTTCCATCAACCTAGCACTGTCTACACAGGGATTTAGGTCAGCTTAAGGACAGTGCTTGGGGGGTGTGGATTTTTCACACCCCAGAGCGACATAGCTATGCTGACTTAATATTCTAGTGTAGACCAGACCTAGCTCTTCTGAGCTAGCACACTGAAAATAGCAGTGTGGACACAGGCAGTAGCTTGGGCTAGCCCAAGCTACCACCTGTGCTGCCAGCCACGCCGCTCCTTTTAGCATACTAGCTCAAGCAGACGCTATCTATGCTGGGAAGCAGGCTCCCAGCTACTGTGTAGACAGACCCTCTGGGCAGAAGGAAAGCATCTGTTCCCACCTGAGCATTTATCAGTTGTGTTTTTCTGTATATTTAAAACTGTAAACTCCTGGGAGCAGGGACATAATCTCCCTGTGTATTTGGAAGGTACTGTATCTATCCATCTTTAAGAAATGATCATGCTATTAATGGAGAAAATAGCAAATACTGCAGCCTTCCTTCACTACACAAATCCTCAACAAACAGTAGCACTTCCAGATGAGTTTGCACCTTTCTCTGTCAACTTGGAGCACACCGAGTGACATTTGGATCCCTTGCACACTGCCCTAGCAAAGGAGCTTTGTGCAGTGGGTGGTTGAGGAACATAAGAACGGGCCATACTGGGTCAGACCAAAGGTCCATCTAGCCCAGTATCCTGTCTAGCGACAGTGGTCAATGCCAGGTGTCCTGGAGGGAGTGAACCTAACAGGTAATGATCCAGTGATCTCTCTCCTGCCATCCATCTCCACCCTCTGACAAACGGAGGCTAGGGACACCATTCCTTACCCATCCTGGCTAATAGCCATTAATGAACTTAACCTCCATGAATTTATCCAGTTCTCTTTTAAACCCTGTTACAGTCCTAGCCTTCACAACCTCCTCAGGCAAGGAGTTCCACAGGTTGACTGTGCGCTGTGTGAAGAAGAACTTCCTTTAATTTGTTTTAAACCTGCTGCCCATTAATTTCACTTGGTGGCCCCTAGTTCTTATATTATGGGAACAAGTAAATAACCTTTCCTTATTCACTTTCTCCACACCACTCATGATTTTATATACCTCTATCATATCCCCCCTTAGTCTCCTCTTTTCCAAGATGCAAAGTCCTAGCCTCTTTAATCTCTTCTCATATGGGACCCATTCGAAACCCCTAATCATTTTAGTTGCCCTTTTCTGAACCTTTTCTAATGCCAGTATATCTTTTTTGAGATGAGGAGACCACATCTGTACACAGTATTCAAGATGTGGGGGTACCATGGATTTATATAAGGGCAATAAGATATTCTCCGTCTTATTCTCTATCCCTTTTTTAATGATTCCTAACATCCCATTTGCTTTTTTGACTGCCGCTGTACACTGAGTGGATGTCTTCAGAGAACTATCCACGATGACTCCAAGATCTTTCTCCTGATTAGTTGTAGCTAAATTAGCCCCTATCATATTGTATGTATAATTGGGGTTATTTTTTCCAACGTGCATTACTTTACATTTATCCACATTAAATTTCATTTGCCATTTTGTTGCCCAATCGCTTAGTTTTGTGAGATCTTTTTGAAGTTCTTCACAGTCTGCTTTGGTCTTAACTATCTTGAGCAGTTTAGTATCATCTGCAAACTTTGCCACCTCACTGTTTACCCCTTCTCCAGATAATTTTTGAATAAGTTGAATAGGACTGGTCCTAGGACTGACTCTTGGAGAACACCACTAGTTTCCCCTCTCCATTCTGAAAATTTACCATTTATTCCTACCCTTTGTTCCCTGTCTTTTAACCAGTTCTCAATCCATGAAAGGATCTTCCCTCTTATCCCATGACAACTTAATTTATTTAAGAGCCTTTGGTGAGGGACCTTGTCAAAGGCTTTCGGGAAATCTAAGTACACTATGTCCACTGGATTCCCCCTTGTCCATGTGTTTGTTGACCCCTTCAAAGAATCATGGAATCTCTTCCCACTAATTCACAGAGGGATGTAGAGCCTCAATCTGTCCACAAAGCCTTCCTCCTCCCCACCCCCCAGCACTATTGTGGAGTTAAGCTCTGAACTCTGAAGTGTGTTCTGGAGTCTCCTTAATTGATCTCTCAGATTCACGGCTCCCCTGTGCAGCAGAAATGTATTGTTTCCACTGTATTTGTATCCTCCAGGGCTGTACAGGAGGTAGGGTTTGTGTGTCTCTCAGTATTTTCCTATCTGACCCATGGGTTCCCTGCAAAAAGATTTGTCTATCCACCTCCCATCCTACATCCCTACCCTTGCAGTAGGATGTTTGAATAGAGCTTGAGGGCCAGATTGTGTTTTTAAGTCACAGCCCTTCCTGGAGGGAGGTTCAGAGGAATTATGTTGCAGCCTGAGGAGGAATTTGGGTTGTCTCAGCCAGAATTCTTCCCAAGGCTTCTCAGGGAGAGCATGCCAGAGCTGCAGTGGTCACTCATTCGCTACCACTAGTTGGCTTGGTACCACCTCTCACTGGCTTTCAGGTGTTGCCATGCCCCTACGCGGAGCCATTTGGAGGAGAAGCCATACTACACTCCCCCAGATGTGCACATGCCCAGGGCCAGGCTCCACCATATTCTTTATCATTGGCTGATTTTCCTTTTCTCTTTCATTCTGCACTCCCTGTTCACCTTGAGTACAGTTACTGAATCATACAGAGCAAAATCTGCCTGTTAAAGGATTTCCAAAGAACTCACAACTTTTTATCTGTTTTTTGCTCTATTTAAACAAGCCCATCTACTCGCCTGAAGCTTTACAGCGTGTGATATAAAAATATTTTGGATTTTTCACATCTCGAGTGGTGTAGTTATGCCTACCTAATTTTCTAGTGTAGATCAAGCCTTTGTATCCTCTCTGTGCTTCCATTTGTACACAGGGAATAAGAAGGCATATGCATTTTATGCAGCACTTGGAAAGCTACAGATTAGAAGTGCTAAGTATTGTTGGTGTTGTATTTCTTATATTCCATGTGGTTTTTCATTATTATTATTTAGGTAAATTGGATTATTGGCTTCAGTTCTCAATTTGATTTGGCATGTGTTTGAAATGCTAATTTTGAGGCTATTTACTAATATCTGCTAATGAGTCATAAAAGGAGAATCACAGAGTGTACATAAAATAGGTCAGAACTGAAAAATGTGGGATTAAAAATCAAGCCCGTCATTTTATATCAAAGATGCAAATAGGCTATAATTCATATCACAGAAAGCTTCACAAGCTCCTAGCTAAAACGAGTCACTTAAATGCACTCTATAATGCATAAACATAAGAACAATTATAAAAAGAAAGACTGTTAAGTTAATGCCCATAAATGATACAGTAATACCAAATGTAGGGCCCCAGTACTTTCCCATGCACCCAGGGATTGCTTTTTAGGGGGCAGAACATAGGGGAGTGTTGCCTCCATGGCATGGTGTCCACGTCCCTCTTGGCCCCACTGAGGACCACTCCAGATCCATGGAATTGGAGGGCACAAGGATGAGGATTGGGAAGGGGATGAAGGTCAAGTTTCATTGAATAATTTTCCCCACCAAATCCACAGGCCAAAGCAAAGCAAGTTTGTCTGTGAATAAGGCATTGGACTAGAATGTAGCAGACCTGGGTTTTGTTCCTGCCTTAGCTACTGACCTTGGGGAAAGTATTTTGCCTTGGTTTCCTCTTACCCTTTGTGTGTCTTGTCTAGTTAGATGGTAAACTCTTTGGGACAGGGACTGTCTCTTACCGCATGTGTGTGTACAGCACACAGCACAATCTTGGTTAGGGCCTCGAGGTGCTATACTAGTACAAATGGTTAATAATGAAGTTCCCTCAGTCTTCAGGAATTAATGTAGTTCTTCCTCCATGGTTTAGAATCCATTCCCATAAGATGGGTTCTGATGGCCCTGGACAGCACGACTCTTGCAGCATTAATGAACCCTTACGGATGGAACTAAAAGGTCAAAGGGGCCTCTCTGTGGATCCCATTTGGCTCCAGAGGAAAGAAGTTCACAGGAAGCACTGGGTTGAAATGCAGTATTTCCACCCCTCTATGTAGATAATGTCTGCCTAGGAGAAGATAGGACTCTTAATTCCATTTTATTCTGGTCTATGCTTCAGTCAAGTTAATACATTGATTCTTAATATGACAATATATAAAAACTGCTAGAAATCATGATAGGTTGCATTTTGCTTTGGTGTTAAATCTAATTATCTAGTGCTAAAGAATAAGAGTGAACTCTTATCATTTAGCCTGTGTAGCCTGTAGGGTCTCATTAGTTTGATAACTACAGACTCTTCCTTATAGGCAGCTATAAGATTATAAAAGTGTAGAAGAGAAAACTGTGTTAGACCAGGAAGCAGAACTGTGCATCCGTCAGACCTATGGTGCTAGTGGGGGTGGAGGAAAAGTCCTAACAGGCCTTTTCACTCTCACTTTGTGATTTCACTAGTTCTTTTAATCATATTTATTAAATCCTTTACATTCTAATATCTAGCTGTGCTAATCTTATTTTCCAGTTAAGTGACACTCCGGATTCATTAAGCCCTATGAGCGTGCCTGGGACAGGACATGAATCGGAGAAGAAGGTAATAAGACATGAATAGTTAATTGAATATGTATCAAATTCTTTTCTATTTTAATTACTTTTTCCTCCTTTGTTTTAATTTATTTTTTAGTAAACCGCCAGTTATTTTACTGCAGTATTCAGTTTTATTGTCCCAAATTCATCCAAACCTGCAGTGAGGCTGTACAATTCTGAGGTACTGGATTTGAGGAGACACTGGTAAATGAGTAGTGACTGAAGTTGGGAAGTCTGTTACTATGGTAATAGATGACTACAGAAAACTGAACATAGCTCTATATCATCTGCTCGTCAAACATTCAAATTATTGCAGAACCATCATTTTCATAAGTACTTTTACTACTTTATTATGCCTAGATGTAATTTAATAAGGCTATGCAAAATATTTCAAGATCTTTAAACAACTGGCTCTCTGATAAACCTGTGTTTAACCTTTGTGGATTTCAGAGCTGTCTTGAAAAAAAGATACTAATTTTTCCTCTGTAGAAGACTTTTCCTCCCTTTCTGAGTTCACACCAATTGCAAATCTAACAGTGGTAGCTAAATGGACCATATGGAGACACTTTTGATTTTTGTCACCTCTTAAAGATTACTTTCTTGTGTACTCACTTGTAATTTCCCCAATATAACAGCATCTGCTGTTACGAGACCTACAGTGGATACAGTAAGATTCAAGTGCTTCAGCCAAGCATTGTAAGGTTTTTTCTTTTTGCAGGGTGCAGCGTGTTTTCAGTATGGCTGGAAAAAGTCCCAGTCCTGCAAACAGTTAGTTATATGTACAACCTTATTCATGAAAATAATCCTGTTGTGTTTAATGGCAGCTGCCTACATGAGTGAAATTACACTCATGCATAAGTATTTGCAGTATCTGGGCCGAAATATTTGCAGTCCAAAAGACATGGGCTCTGATTTGATTCTCTGATTTCAACAGGAGACTTTCACATGCAATGAGAAATTTTACTTGTCACTTTATGCTTAGAACTCAACACCTATTTTGAGGAATGTATACTTTAGTGTTGCCTTATACCAATTAAATATAGTTTTGGAAACTCAAGTAGTAGTAAGTCCAACCCAACTGATTCAGGCTTAAAGGCTGAACATAACTAAAATACCTGAAATACAACACGCCCTATGTTAGCAAACCTGAGATTTAAAAAAATAATAAATGTTAGGTTCTTGTTATTTCTCTGCTGATTTCTCAGCTTCTAGTGTGCCCTCATGTAATATTTTCAAGCTTTTCACCACAACCATGAAATCTAGAAACTTAATTTTGTTTTAAATAAAAGCTGAGAGTCTCTCATAAGCACTTGCCTCCAGGTTGGGCGTAAAGAAAAACATCAAAATATTGTGAAAGTCATGATAAAATCATGAGAGCTGGCAACACTAAAAAATGTGACCCGGCTGAAACTTTAGCTGCTAATCTGTCTTCAGAACTGATTCATTGGCGTTTATAAAAATTTGTAATGTTAGTTATGCCCCAGTTGGGATATCCAATTAGTATAAATGAAAATTATTTCCTTAGTCATTGAGTGTTTCTTTAAAACAAAATACCAAGTTCTTTCTTGAAAGTTGTTAATAAATGAACACATCTGAAGATAAACCTTTTTTTTTTTTTTAACTGCTTAAAACTGACCAGCTGTCCTCGTTTGGTTCAGTGTGTGTGATCCAGGAACCTCTTGGTGCCAATTGGTGGAGGGCACAGGGAATGCATAGGATTTTACAGGGATCCCTGGGTCAGACATGTCCATATCAAATTAACCAATGGGTGGTATGTAAGGTCTCTATCAAGAGCCAGTAGCCCAGTGATCATTATAATCATTCTGAAATGCTATGTACGATAATATTTAAGAAGTTATGTATCCACACTGGAAATTCTTCTTTGAGTGCTGGTCCCTGTGTGTATTCCACTGTGGGTAGGCATGTGCTCCATGAACCTGGAGCTGGAGTGTTTTGAAAGCAGTGTCCATTGGTCTACACATGCGTCCTGTCTCACCTCATGCCTCTGACTGAGGAGATAAAGGTTGGAGTGGACCAACCATTCCCCAGTCTCCTTCTCTGCATGGTCTTGGTCCAGTGTCCAAAACTCCAGTGTCCAAAGCTTTGGTTTTATTCCTTTATCTGTGAACATATATATAGATATCTGTAAATTGGTTTTAGAAGTTTTTACAGTTTCAAGTTTTATCTGATAGTTTTTAATGTTTTATAGTTAGCCTCCCTAACCTGGGGAGCCCCCTTCCCCCTCTATTACCCTGCTTTGGGTATTGGACTATGCCCAGGACTTGGGGCTTCAAAATCTGTGCTTCCTGCCCAGGCTCCTTCTCCATCAGTGATGAGTACCAATGCTGTCTGTACTGCCTTGAGGAAGCCCACTTTGTAGCAAGGTGCACTATCTGTAGTTCATTCCTCAGTTGCACCTGGAAAGGGCGGGAACTTTACCTTAGGAAGCACCTAATGGAAAAGACCTTAAGGCCACTGTCAGACTCAGGCCAGGGGACCCACCCTGTACAGCCAGACTCTGCAAGGAGTGCGCTTCCTGCCACAATGTTCAACTCAAGAGTGAGGAAGTCCACACCCACAGATTCCTCAGCAGGGTTTTTGGTGGAAGAGCAGGGAGCCTGCCTAAATCAAGCAAGTCTCATTAGAGATTCCAGGGAGGGTGGCACTGAAGCAGAGGGGAACTGGTGGCTGAATAAGTGCAAAGGTTCAAGGAGGATTTAAAGCAGGGGTGGGCAAACTAGAGGCTGCGTCCAGCCCATCAGACCTTTTAATCTGGCCCTTGAGCTCCATTGCCCCACTCCAGCCAGGAATCAGGGTCGGGGGTTTGTCCCGCTGCTCCCGCCTGGCACTCCCGTGTGTTCGTGACTGCCGTGAGGGCACACGTTATCCAGCTGCACAAACCAAACATGCCTCACGTGCCATCAGAGCCTGGAACGTGCAAGCCCACATGGCTGCTGCTTGTTGGCTTAGGTGACTCTGATGTTTTAGTAGTGTTAATTTTCCATTATTGTTGAGAAAACAGAGTAGTTGGCCAGGGAGTGCTCAGTGGTGGTTTTCAAAGTTGTGGGGTGTTGGGACCTACATGGGAGGAGATTTCTGAGAGCAGGGGGCTGGTGAATCTCGATAAGTTCCGGTGACTGGAATCTGGTGCCCAACAAGTCCAGGCTAGAGAGAGAGGGCGTGGAAAGGGGGTAAATTGAGTTTAATTATTATAATACATTGTTATGATGTGGTGTATTTATAATAGTAGTTAAAGTTTTATATTTATTTCCACTAAAATGTATCTTTATTAAATAAAGTTTATTTGAGTATCTCTGAATTGTTAATTTCATGAGCATTCATGGCCCAACATACAATTTCCGTACCCAGATGTGGCCCTCAGGCCAAAAAGTTTGCCTACCCCTGATTTGAAGTCTGTGCTGGGGATGGTGCAGCAAAACCTCACAAAAAGCCACACAGCTCAGAATCTTTTTTTTTTTTTTTTTATTAATTAAACCTCTCTGTCTAGTTTTCTTGAACCTGTTTAATATTCATTGTTGAAAACAACTTGACCTATTTTCCACCAACATTTGTTGTAATGGGTTATTGCAGGGATCGGCAACCTTTGGCCCGCGGTCCGCCACGGTAAGCCCCCTGGCAGGCCGGGCCGGTTTGTTTACCTGTCCCGCCCGCAGGTTCGTCTGATCGCGGCTCCAAGTGGCCGTGGTTCGCTGCTCCAGGCCAATGGGGGCCCCAGGAAGCAGAAGGGGTGAGGGATGTGCTGGCCTATAGGTTAACCAGTGGCTAACTCTACTGCATCAATATAAAGGGTGAGCTATAAGCCAGGAACTTCTTGGTGCCAACTGTTAGCGGGCATAGGGAATGCATAGAGTTTTTATAGGGATTCCTCGGGTCAGATATATGCATATTAAGTTCACCAAAGGGTGGCATGTAAGGTCTGGATCAGGAGGCAGTAGCCTACTTGTCATCATAATAATTTCAAAATTTATGTACAGATAATATTTAATGGGTTATGTATCTATACTAGAAATTGTGTTCTCAAATCTTTGGAGTTAAGGCAGGTAACCAAGCGGTGCCATGTCTTAAACGGGTTACTTTCAAACAGTAGGTACAGACGCTTATCTTTCTGTCTGGTCTTGGGTAGTGAGCATTGTAAGTCTCACAATGGAAGACTGTCTGCATACTGAGCATGAGACCAGTCAAAATCTACAGAAGAGGAAATTTACAGGAAAAAATAAACAGCAGGAGGGGATCCTATTTACTAGTAAAGACAATAGATTGTGGGGGGATATATCTGAGAACTAAGAGGATGCTCTCGTTCCTTCATCTAGGAGACAAGCTATGTAAACACAAACACATATACCACTTGAAGCACATTAGACATGAGAGGATCTTGTTAATTAAGTCTAGGTTCTAGAATGCCTGTTACAATTTTATTTTATATGTAACTAATTGTTTCCAATACTACTACTTGCTGTCACTTGAATCTCTATACTTTTTAAAATAAACTTCTACTCATTTTCACTATAAACTTATCTAAGTAAGTGTTGTGTGTTAAACGGAGCAGTTATCTAAGATGTAATTAGTAAGCTGGGGTGTTCTGCTTATTTGGGAGCAGCAAATCTGTGAATACTGCGAATGTCCAGTGGACCAGGAGCTGGACACGCCAGGTGAATGCTCAGAGGGCTTGGGGGTTGGAGTGTGTCTATCGCTATGCGTTCTGTGACATGTAGAGACATGACCTATATTACATATGCATTTAGGGCTCAGTTGTGCCCAGCCCTGCACAGGAGGAGGGTGGGTGAGAGGTTGCAAGGAACATCTCTTCCCCTTGTATCCTCTGGTAGAGCTAAGTAGAATGGCAATCCTTGTGCTTCCAGCAGCACAAGGATTGCTCCAAGCTAGTTCCACTACTACTGCTAACCTCTCCAAATGAGACAGAGAGAGGCAAAAAGGGGCGGGAGGGGCATCTTGTTGCCCTGCTTCTGCATCAGTCAGCAGAGCTGGCCACACATGAGAGAGTACACCAAGCATGATGCACTGGCCATGCTCCCACTGTGCTCCACGAAGCATTGTACCTGCCTGAGGCATAAGGTTTCTAGCATTTCCCACTGGGGTGGGGTGGCTCTGCAGCACTCCCTACTGTAGGCTCTGTTGTAATGCTTAGATTGGTTTATCCTTCCTATCTTTCAGCCATTTCTTGATGTAGCCTTACTCAAACGAGTGTGGTGGGCAATACTTACAGAAGAATTAATTGATTAATTGATTTAATTGGGGATTGGTCCTGCTTTTGAGCAGGGGGTTGGACTAGATGACCTCCTGAGGTCCCTTCCAACCCTGATATTCTATGATTCTATGATAAGAATTCATGTCTTTTTTTTTACCTTTGGCAAACTTAAAATGTCCAAGGGAATATTGCTGGAAATTCTTTCCTCGTTTTGCATGTTTTCTACTAACCACTCTCTTGAATGCATACATACAGAAATGTTTTTTGTTTTAAATCTTTTTGTATGGTTTTAATGAGGGTTACTTTGTATATATGGTACAAAACAGGTCACTCCAGTCAAATCGTCTCGATCAAAAAGACACATTTCCTCTGCTGGCACAATTGAATCAATCAATCTTGATGCGGTCCCCCAGGCAATCGCTCGTCTGGACAACAGCGCGGCTAAGCACAAACTCTCCATAAAGCCAAAAAAACAGAGGCTGTCAAGAAAACACAGAAGATTAACAAAGGTATTGAACTGATTTGGGTTGTCAAATGATGAGATGAGATGGTCTGCTTTAGAAACTGTAGTAAGTACTCACAAAATAGTTGCAACTGAAAATAACAAGATGAATGGTAGGTATGATGCAGGTACAGACCTGGCTGGGTAACACCGGGGAGATCTTTGGGAAACGTTCACAACGTAGACTTTGTCTTCACTGCAAAACGAGGCATGTGGTTTTTATATTGAGAGAACTCAAGATAGCTGTCTGAATGTAAAGTTCTAGTGGAGACAAGGGACAGGTAGTGTTTAGCTCCGTGTAGCTATCTGGGGCTGATGATGTGCTGCACCCATCCAGGAGAGTTCCAGGAGGCACTGTGAGGGTGCAATGTGCTCTCTTCCCCACAATCAGCCAGCTTCATTGACCTGTGTGGAGGGAGGGTGGGCCATGGTCCTTTCTCTTTTCCCTTCCTCACTCCCTGTGCACCCTTCCCATCCTGGTGTGCCCCTGCCATAATCTGGCCATTGGGCTTCCAAAAGAAATACTTCACAATCCAAACAACGATAGGAAAGGAATGACGGAAGGAGCCCTACGTCTCTCCCACACTGCCTTCCCTCCTCTCCAGGAACCCGAAAGAGGCCAGTGGGCAGCTTCCCTGGAGTTAACAGGAATTTCCAGATAAGGGAGGGAGCTGCTGGGCTAAGACATTTATTCACGGGAGGACAGCAGGACAGAAAAAAGAGCCCAGCCACCCCTTTGTTTTGCTCTGTCTATTCCCTCATCCTCTCTCCCTTCTGGTGAGAAACGTGTTGGCCCAGCATCTCCTTCCCCCTCAACTAACAGAAGGCATTTTAATGGTAATGGTGTTGTCTGAGGAGCTGCAAAGTCGTGGTGAGCCTGTTATGTCTACGGAAGGTCCATGTAGCTGGGAGGAAGCACGCCCTGTACTGGGCAGAGAGTGAGTCAGCTGCTTGCCTAGAACCAGCAAGACTCCTGAAGTGGTGTGTGGAGCTGACATGCAGGAAACAAATTGGCAGTCAGAAAGAGGCAGCGGTGAAGGACTTCATACAGCTTCTGCAGGTATTGCAGCTTAGTAAAAGCTGTTGATAGAGACGGAAACGTGGAATCAACAGGAGACTGAGGGTACATCTCCACTGCAGCTGGGAACCTGCTTCTCAGCTTGTGTAGACAGACACATGCTAACTCTATTTGAGCTAGCACACAGCAAAATAGCAGAGTAGCCAGGAGTAGCTCTGGCTAATGGCTTGATACAAACCCGTCTGGAACCTCTGGGTACATACTTGGGTGGCTAGTCCAAGCTGCCGCTTGTGCTACCTCCCGACTACAGTGCTATTTTTAGTACATTAGCTTGAGCAGAGCTAGCACATCTGTCTCCCCAAGCTGGGAAGTACGCTCCCAGCTGCAGGGTAGACATACGGTCCCTGAAACAAACAAAATACCTCTTGTACCACTAACCCACCTCATGGTATCCCATTTAATCGCAATGGCTACCTTCATTAAGCAGCAGTCATCACACCTCTCCACTAGCATAGAAAAGCTAGGGATCTCCAGATTTTTCATGATTTTTAGGTAGCTCCCAGATTTCTGCATTGGAACCACCAGCGTGGGGAGCCCCAACTAACTGGGGTTTAGCCAGGCAGAGAGTAGCAGCCAAGCAGCATTTCCTTTACCATTGTTCCTCCTGTCCTTGCCGTCACCACACAGCTGCTCTCTGCAGGGCTGCATGCTCATTGTGTGGAAAGAGCCAACCCTGCAGAGAGAATTGACACAGACAATGCTTTTGAACAGATGCTTAATGTTTTTGAGCCTTAACAGAACAAATTCTGGAGCTTACAAAGTGGTTAAATGTGGGGCAGTGCTGGAAATGTGAATGTCACATTCTAAAATCTATTCACATCATGGGTGGCCAAAGAGAGGCCCGTGGGCCGCGTGAAGCCCCTGTGTGATTGTGGCCACCTTCATGTGGCCTGTGGTGACTACAGATCCCAGCATACAATATTCCCCAATGAGCCCGGTGGCCTCCTTAGCTTTTGGCTTTGGTGGTGTGTATCAGTACGCTCTGTGCTTCAGACCCAGTTTTATGGTGAGGGTGGCTGCTGCCTACTCCATTTTACACAAATCAGCGTGGCCCTTAGACTTCCCTGAAGGTGCTGCTGCAGGTCTTGGTTAGTCAGAATTTGGGCACCATTGATTTACCTGCATTAGTGTAAACTGTGATTTATTATTTAGTATTACCATGTTGTTGGTGCCAGGATGTGTCCTTTCTTTTACAAAATATCACTCCTGTAAAGTGGTGAAGCAGATCAACCCACATGTTGTTCAGTTACTCTAATATGTCATGGGTTATGATACTGTAACTCATGAGTTCGTGTGTGTAGTCTCTGTACTCAAATACAGTAAAAATATGACTTTCTAACAAGGGACAAAAATAAAATGATCTATATCTCAAGCCAATTGTTAAAAAATAGAGACTAGTCAGTTTGCAACTGATCAGTTCACCATTCTGTACAGTGAAGAAAGGGAACAATAACCAATATTAAGTAACTCTGCTTTTGTTTCCCAACATTAGGAGTCACAAAGCGTAACAGTGACAGAGTTTGAGCAAGAAAACCCAGAAACCCCCCAGTACAGAGAGAGATACCCAGATGACCATGGGCGCATTGCCCCAGCGAAGCCAACCCAGAACAGAGAGGGCCGAAAGCATCTTGAGTTAGCAGATGAGAAAAGAAAGCAAGAAGATCACTGGAGAATCCTCGAGGCTGAAGAGAAAAGACAAATGGCAGAAGCAGAGGGAAAAAAACATTTGGAAGAACAAAGATGCCAGGAAATTGAAGAGATGCAAAGGCAACAGGAGAGAAAGCATTGTGAGAAAGAGAAAAGGCAGCATCTCCTTAAGGAGGAGAAACATTTGAAAATAAAAGAGCAGAGGCACCAGGAGGAGGAGAAAAGTCAAGAAGAAGAACGGAGACAACAGGAACTGGAGGAGCAGAAAAGACTGGACGAACGGAGACAACAGGAACTGGAGGAGCAGAAAAGACTGGACGAAAGGAGACAACAGGAACTGGAGGAGCAGAAAAGACTGGACGAAAGGAGACAACAGGAACTGGAGGAGCAGAAAAGACTGGACGAAAGGAGACAACAGGAACTGGAGGAGCAGAAAAGACTGGACGAACGGAGACAACAGGAACTGGAGGAGCAGAAAAGACTGGACGAACGGAGACAACAGGAACTGGAGGAGCAGAAAAGACTGGACGAACGGAGACAACAGGAACTGGAGGAGCAGAAAAGACTGGACCAACGGAGACAACAGGAACTGGAGGAGCAGAAAAGACTGGACGAACGGAGACAACAGGAACTGGAAGAATGGAGACGAGTGGAACTGGAGGAGCAGAAAATAAAAGAACTGGAAGAACAAAGGTGTCATGAGATTGGAAAACAGCATCAGGAGGAAGAAAAAAAGAGACAAGAGGAACAAAAAAGACAAGAATTGGAAGAACAGAGACAAGAATTTGAGAAAAGGCATCTTCAGGCTGAAGAGAAGTTGCAGCAGGAGGAAGAAGCTAAGAGACTGGAAGAACAAAGCCAGCATCAGAAGGAAAAAAAGAAGAGACAAGGAGAACAAACTCTGCAAAAACTGGAGAAGCAAAAGACACAAGAAGAACAAAAAAGACATGAGCCAGCAGAACAAACACCCCTGGAGAGTGAAGAGAGAGAACAACAGGGGAAATTTAAAATAAGGCAAGAGGAATCAAATGAACAAGAACTGAAAGAACAGGCAGAAATACACGTGGATGGACAACAGCATTTGGAAAAGCAAAAAGAACAAGAGCAAGCCTTAAGACAGCAACAGGTCAAAGAAGAAGTGTGTTCTGGGGATGCTGGTAGTGAAACCATGGAGAAGCAGCTTCAAGAAGAATCAAACCAACAAAAAACAAAAGAGTCACAGAAAGGGAAAGAAACAGTGCTAGAAAAGCTAACACCAAAACAGAAGAGAGAAGTCGAAGCTCAGGAGCAGAAGACAGGTGAAGAACTAAGGTGGCAGGAAGTAGATGAAAGGCAGGCTATGCACAGACCATTCACATTTCAAGTGTCATCGGGAGAGAAACAGATCATATTTCAAAAAGTGAATTTGAGCCCCGTTACTCCTGTCAAAGAGGCAGCGCACCTTTCTGCCCTCAAAGAATCCAAGACCCACAAATTTAGCAAAGGTTCTCCTGCACTTCCCTACTCTTTGTGTGTCCCACACACAGCTATTTTGGTTACTGGAGCACAGCTTTGTGGCACTGCCGTAAACCTGAATCAGATCAAAGATACAGCTTGTAAATCTTTACTTGGTTTGACAGAAGAAAAAATAAACCTGGATTTTCCCCCACCAGAAAACACCCAGAAAACTACTCTTGATTCCAAATCTAGCCGCAGTAAAATGAAGTATACACAGGAGACATTGAACAATCAGGACGTATTAGCTGAATGGGCTTCTATTAGATCTAGAATCCTAAAGAGTGCAGAAAACAGCAAGCTAAATGAAAAAGACCGAGTAAGTGTCTGTAGATACAGTGATGACTGGACTCCCAAAGGACGAGGTGCTTCCCATGCCAATTTAAGGAAAACACTTTCTGCGAATGCAAAATTTTCCATAACACCAGCATGGCAGAAATTTTCAGAAACCTCAAAAGCCAATGCAGATGCTGAGAGTGCCTGTGGTACAGAAAGTACTGAACCAGAGAACACAAGAAAAAAGACAGATTCATCCACTGATGCAAATGATGATGTGGCTGCTCGCAATGAGACTCCAGCTTGTAAAGATAATGTGACTGAAATGGCAACAAAGAGTGAAACACACCTTGAAATGGCAAACTACACAGAAGGCTATAAGTTTGCCAAAGATCTTCCATCTTTCCTTGTTCCAAGCCTCTCTCATTCTTCAGGAAAAGAACTGCCCCAATCAGAATCTCCAGCTACTTTGGAAAGTCAGCAGAACACTGGTACAAGAAACCTGGATAAAACAGCACCACATGAAGAAGAAAATGTTTCTCCATTTGGGATAAAGTTAAGAAGGACAAATTACTCCTTACGTTTTCACTATGATCAACAGGCAGAGCAAAAGAAAAAGAAAAGATACAGTGCAGGAGATAGTTTTGATGGTGTACCTGCCCCACTATTTACAACAGAAAGTGGAAAAGAAACCATTAATACCACTCTAAAAGACAATATATCCCCTAGCCTAGAGAGAAGGGATGCCACTGTTAATGTTTTAAAAGACTCTTCAAATAATGTTTCGGAGAACTCAGACACAACAGTTACACTTCTATTCCCATCGACCAACAGCCAGATTCCTTTACCTAGTCATGAGAAACCTGTGTGTAAATCGTCACTCCAACAAAAACCTGCATTAGCTCCAAAGCCCACAAACCAGACCCCGCCATCCTCTCCTCTCTCTAAAAGGAACAGATCAAACTTAGCTGACACATTAGGTCAAAAGACGGCTAAACCAGAGTTAGACACCACCTGGAAAAAAGAAGACAGTAAAGTGAAATTGATGCACTCACCAGCACAGAATGAGAACAAAAATGAAGAGGAAGAAACCAGAGAAAAGAAGTCATTTTTCCCATCTATCACCATGCCATGGAGAGAGAAAGCTGATAAAAAGCCTGAGCCACTGAAAAAAGGTAGGCAACATGAAAGTGTCACATGTAACTATGGGCCATGTTTCCAGAATGAGAGGCTGGAGGTTTGTGTGCAGAATTTTGGCCTTAAATGTAGACTATTATTAATCCTTATTTGGCCTGGTAACAACTTAGTGAAAGTGGTGTACAAATAAATCAAGAGACTAATTCCAGTCACAACTAGCTTACAGTCTAGTTTAGACACAGACAAAACAGATCAAACATAAATAATAAGTGATATACTGGTGTGTCTGGTAATGGCAATCTAGACATCTAATTGTGATCTCTCAAGGAAGTGTGTTTTAAAGAAGCAATTGAAGTCTCTTGTTCAGTCAGGAGATATGCATATGGATAGAGGCCCCCTTAATATTTTTAATTAAATAAATACTACTGGGAATTGTGTGATTATGGGAGACTTTAACTTCCCAGATATAGATTGGAAGACAAGTGCTACTAATAATAGTAGGGCCCAGATTTTCCTGGAGGTGATAGCCAACAGATTTCTTCACCAAATAGTTGCTGAACCAACAAGATGTAATGCCATTTTAGATTTGGTGATTTTAGATTTAGATTGGTGAGTAGTGAGGACCTCGTAGAAGAACTGGTTGTAGAGGACAACCTTGGTTCGAGTGATCATGAGCTAATTTAGTTTAAACTAAATGGAAGGATAAACAAAAATAGATCTGCAATTAGGGACCTTGATTTCGAAAGGGCAAACTTTAAAAAATTAAGGGAATTAGGAAGTGGACTGGACTGAAGAACTCAAGGATCTGAATGTGGAGGAAGTTTGGAATTACTTTAAGTCAAAGTTGCAGAAACTATCTGAAGTCTGCATCCCAAGCAAGGGGAAAAAATTCATAGGGAAAGGTTGCAGACCAAGCTGGATGAACAAGTATCTCAAACAAGTGATTAAGAGAAAGCAGAAAGCCTACAAGGAATGGGAGAGGGGATGAATCAGCAAGGAAAGATACCTCTTGGAGGTCAGAAAGTGTAGGATTAAAGTGAGAACAGACAAAAGCCAAGCAGAATTGGACCTTGCAAAGGGAATTAAAATCAATAGTAAAAGGTTCTATAGCCATATAAATAAGAAGAAAACAAGGAAAGTGGAATTGCTAAACACTGAGGATGTGGTGGAGATTAAAGATAAACTAGGCATGTCCCAACATCTAAACAAATACTTTACCTCAGTTTTTAATTAGGCTAATGAAGAACTTAGGGATAGTAGCAGGGTGGCTAATGGGAATGAGAACATAGAGGTAGAAGTCAAAGTCAAACTCAAACAGTTTATGGTGACTAAATTGGGAGGTCCAGATAATCTCCATCCAAAAATATTGAAGGAACTGGCACATGAAATTGCAAGCCCAATAGCAAAGATTTTTAATGACTCTAAACTCGGACATTGTACCCTCTGACTGGAGAATTGCTAATATTGTTCCTATTTTTTTAAGAAAGAGAGAAAAAGTGATCTGGGAAACTACACACTTGTTAGTTTGACCTCAGTTGTATGCAAGGTCTTGGAATAAATTGTGAAAGAGAAAGTAGTTAAGGACATAGAGGTTAACAGTAATTGGGATAAAATTCATCATGGTTTTACAAAAGGTAGATCATGCCAGACCAACCTGATCTCCCTCTTTGAGAAGATAACTGATTTTTTTAGACAAAGGCAATCCAGTAGAGCTCATCTACCTGGATTACAGTAAGACATTTGATACAGTTTCACATGAGAAATTATTAGTGAAATTGGAGAGGATGGGGATTAGTATGAGAATTGAAAGGTGGATAAGGAACTGGCTCAAGGGAAGACTACAACAGGTCATACTGAAAGGTGAACTGTCAGGCTGGAGGGAGGTTACTCAGGATTGCTCTTGGGACCAATCTTATTTAGCGTTTTTATTACTGATGTTGGCACAAGAAGTGAGTGTACTAATAAAATTTGACACAAATTTGGGAAGTATTGGCAATACGGAGGAGGACTGGAATATCATAACAGAAGATCTCAATGACATTGTAAACTGGAATAATAGAAACAGGATAAAATTTAATATTGCGGAATGAAAGGTCACACATTTAGGGACTAACAAAAACATTTGTTATAAGCTAGGGACATATCAGTTGGAAGTGACAGTGGAGGAGAAAGACCTGGGTGTATTGGTTGATCACAGGATGACTAAGCTGCCAGTGTGATGTGGCTGTGAAAAAAAGCCTAATACAGTCCAAGGATGCATCAGGCGAGGTATTTCCAGTAGAGACAGGGAAGTGTTAGTACCATTATACAAGGCACTGGTGAGACACATCTGGAATAGTGTGCAATTCTGGTCTCCCCTGTTTAAGAAAGATGAATTCAAAGTGAAATATGTGCAGAGAAGGGCTACTTGGAGGCTCCAAGGAATAGAAAACCTATCTTATGAGAGGAAATACCAATACTCAGTACCAATGTGGACACAAGAACAAATGGATATAAACTGGCCACTAGGAAATTTAGATTAGAAATTAGACAAAGGTTTCTAACCATCAGAGGAGTGAAGTTTTGGAATAGCCTTCCGAGGGAAGTAGTGGGGGCAAAAGATCTATCTTGCTTTAAGATTAAACTCGATAAGTTTATGGAGGAGATGGTATGATGGGATAACATGGTTTTGGTAATTAAATGTTCATGGTAAATAGGCCCAATGGCCTGTGATGGGTTTTTAGATGGGGTAAGATCCAAGTTACCCGGGAAAGAATTTTCTGTAGTATCTGGCTGATGAATCTTGCCCATATGCTCAGGGTTTAGCTGATCGCCATATTTGGGGTCGGGAAGGAATTTTCCTCCAGGGCAGATTGGAAGGCCCTGGAGGTTTTTCGCCTTCCTCTGTAGCATGGGGCACGGGTCACTTGCTGGAGGATTCTCTGCTCCTTGAGGTCTTCAAACTACAATTTGAGGACTTCAATAGCACAGATATAGGTGTGAGGTCTTTTTTAGGAGTGGTGGGTGAAATTCTGTGGCCTGCATTGTGCAGGAGGTCAGACTAGATGATCATAATGGTCCCTTCTGGCCTAAATATCTATGAATCTATGAATCTATGAAATTTGTTTAGCCTAAACAAAAGAAGGCTGAGGGATATATGATTGCTCTCTATAAATACATCAAAGGGATAAATACCAAAGAGGGAGAGGAGTTATTTAAGTTAAGCGCCAATGTGGACACAAGAACAAATGGATATAAACTGGCCAACGAGTTTAGACTTGAAATTAGGAGAAGGTTTCTAACCATCAGAGGAGTGACGTTCTGGAACAGACTTCCAAGGGGAACAATGGGGGGCAAAAAACCTTCTGGCTTCAAGGCTGAGCTTGATAAGTTTATGGAGGGGATGGTATGGTGAGACTTCCTACAACGGCATGTAACTGATCTGTGATTGCTAGCAGCAAATATATCCAGTGGCCAGTGATGGGATACTAGATGGGGAGGGCTCTGAGTTACTACAGAGAATTATTTCCCAGGTGTCTGACTGGTGAGCCTTGCCCACATGTACAGGGTCCAACTCAGGTCGGCAACCTTTCAGAAGTGGTGTGCCAACTCTTCATTTATTCACTGTAATTTAAGGTTTTGCATGCTAGTAATACATTTTACATTTACAAGGGCCGACGGACGGAACCCCAGACTGGCAGCGGGCTGAGCGGGGCCAGCAGCTGGGACCCCGGCTCACAGGGGCTGGCGGATGGAACCCCAGACTGGCAGAGGGGGCGGCGGATAGCCCACTGCCGGCCCGGGGTTCTGTCCATCCAGGCCGGCAACAGGCTGAGTGGGGCTGGCGACCAGGACCCCAGGCTGGCAGCAGAGTGCCATTGTAAATCAGCTCGCATGCTGCCTTTTGCATGCGTGCCATTGGTTGCCGACCCCTGGTCTAACTAATCACCATATTTGGGATTGGGAAGGAATTTTTCCCTGGGTCACATCGGCAGAGACCCTGGGGTTTTTTTGCTTTCCTCTGCAGCGTGGGGCATGGGTCACTTGCAAGTTTAAACTAGTGCAAATGGTGGATTCTCTGTAACATGAAGTCTTTAAACTAGGGCTGTCAATTAATTGCAGATAACTCAAGCAATTAATGCAAAACAGATTAACTAGATTAAAAAATTATTTTTGATTAATCGCCATTTTTATTGCACTATTAATAATAGAATACCAATTTAAATGTTCAAATATATTAATTTCAATTATAACACAGAATACAAAGTGTACAGTGCTCACTTTATAGTATTATTTTAATTATCTTTTTACAGTTCAAATATTTGTAAACAAAAGAAATAGTATTTTCAGTTCACCTCATACAAGTACTGTAGTGCAATCTCTTTATCATGGAAGTGCAACTTACAAATGTAGAATTAATTTTTGTTACATAACTGCACTCAAAAACAAAACAATGTAAAACTTGAGAAACTACAAGTCTACTCAGTCCTACTTCAAGTTCAGCCAATAACTAAGACAAACAAGTTTGTTTACATTTACGGGAGATATTGCTGTCCGCTTCTTATTAACAGTATCACCTGAAAGTGAGAACAGGTGCTCACGTGGAACTGTTGTAGCCCACGTTACAAGGTATTTATGTGTCAGATATGCTAAATGTTCGTATGCCCCTTCATGCTTCTACCACCATTCCAGAGCACATGCTTCCATGTTAAAAAAAAAAATATGTCAATTAAATTTGTGACTGAACACTGTGGGGGAGAACTGTATGTCTCCTGCTCCATGGTTTTCTGCCATATATTTTGTGTTATGGCAGTCTCAGATGACAACCAAGCAGATGATGTTCTATTTAAGAACACTTTCACTGCAGATTTGACAAAATGCAAAGAAGGTACCAATATGAGATTTCTAAAGATAGCTACAGCACTGGACCCAAGGTTTAAGAATCTGAAATGCCTTTCAAACTCTGAGAGGGACAAGGTGTGGAACATGCTGTGAGAAGTCTTAAAGAGCAACACTCCAATGCGGAAACTACAGAACCCGAACCACCAAAATCAACCTT